AGCCCTGACTTCAAACCGCAATCCCACCAAATTAAAAATGATGTGTGTAATTTCCATGTCACTTTGAAAAGAAAATGCCCTCCACTTCTACTTTTGCCCTCTCCCATTAGATTGACATGCCCACATGTCAATGACCTAGCCATGACCATGAAACTGAAGATAAAACTCTAGAAGTGAGCCAGGTGTGGTGGCCCATGCCTGTAATCCTAGCACTCTGGAAGCTGAAGCAGGAAGATTGTGAGTTCAACTCCAGCTTGTGCCATATAGTGAGTTCCAAGCCAACCACAGGTAAATTTTGAGACCCTGTCTCAAAAAACAAGAAACAAACTCACACTCACTATAATGAAGGAGTAAAAATACAGGTTTCTAGGTCTAAAAGGCTGCAGAGAACAAAGCCACTCCACCTGCCTGAACTGCGCATTTCTCAACTGTTAAGTTGGGAGAGAAGTAAAGTACTATCTCCTGCAGCCATGGTGTAGTTGGGTCTGCCATACCAGTTCAGTTTGCACAGCCTAGCAGACCAACCCTCACATTCTTCCTTCCTCTGTCCCTTGGGAGTGCTTCTTTATTCCCTGTAGGGCGGCTGTCTCCTTCCTCTCATAGCCTATGGTCAAATCCCGTCTGCCTTTGCCTGTTCTCTCTGTGCCTCCCAGCATGGCAGGAATGCAAAATGCTAGTTTCCAGTTGGTGTGTCTATTTAAAGCTCCTTCTCCAAGAAGCAACTTCTTTTCTCCTTCTCAACTAGCAAAACACATTTCACCACCTAACAAGAACCTGAAGAATTTACCGCCCATTCCACCCCCAGGAGGTGAGCTATTTATACTGGCTATCTGCTGAATCTTGGTAAGAGAGGTTATCAACTTGGTAAGAGAGGTTCTTGGGTAATTATTAGAATGTGTACATGCACGGGAAGCAAGAACAAGCAACATTTTTCACAGCCCAAGGCAAGCCTTCTGTTCACTGACTCTGTAATGCTTTCATCATCACAAGGAGCAAATAGATCTGAGAGGAACAGAATCATGACATTTGGGGCTGTCAGCTGTAGGCAGTGGAGAGTGCAAATGGCTTGATTTTTTAAATTCCAGACAAAACCTCAAATGCTCTGGGTAGACTTCTGAAGGTTCGTGTATCCTAAAGAAAGCTCTTATGTTGCTATGTGGTTTCCTGAGCAAGTATCAGAACTCTTAGCCAGGTATTCATTCAGCATTCATACTTGAGTGCCTATTGTGTGCCACACATTGTGCTGGGGATATGTGAAAAGGGCAAGCATGGCCCCTGTCTCATTGGGCTTACAGCATAGTAGGATTGGAGGCTGAGGGACAAACACCAAAATTATTAAGACTGAAACTTTATTGCATTTGAACTTGGAGATTTTTTATTTTTATTTTTTTTTTTCTCAATCCTCTCTTTGTCTCTCTAATGCCTGTTCAGCTTACTGTTGATTAGTACACTATCTCTCCCTGTTTGTATCTTTGAAACTTTGTTTGCTTGTTTTGGGGTTTTTTTTGTTTGTTTGCTTGTTTTTCCCTCTTTCTTTAACTTCTTTGCTTTCCCACTCCTCTCACCCTTCCATTCTAAATACCACCATTGTTATTATTGCAAGCTAGAAAATAGTTAATTGCACACAGTACAGGGCCAATAACAACACCAAGGGCAATGATGGGAAGACAGAAAAAACAGAGAAACCAGTTTCCCCACAGCAAAAAATTAGTACAGGAACCAGAGGGGAATGAAGAAAACAGATACTCAG